AGCAGAACAGAATGTGGCCCAGCTTACCCAGACTCACTGAGGTGATATCTAAGGATGTCTTAGATTGTGAATTAAATGCCTTTCAGGCTGTAAGAAGGAACCTGGTGTGATTCGAATTTCCAGAACAGCCTGCTGGGTGGCTTCCACTGTCAAGCTATCTTGCACACTCCGTTGCCTATCTAATCTGCCTGAAACAAGCCTGTAATCACTATAACCTTCAGCACCATCCACTCTGAGCTCTGCCTGGCTCTCTGGTCCCACCTTATCTTCTCTGTCTTCCTTCTTCCTTCTTTCCAGCACACGGCCCTCTCCCAGACCTGTCTCTCTGCTCATCCTGCTTCTGGACCTTTGTCCAAGATGCTGCCTTGGTCTGAAACATATGCTGTCTCTTGTCTGCTGGGCCAGATGACATCCTTCTCTCCAGGTCAAGCTTCCGTTTCAATTCCTCCATGGATCTTTCTTGACTGTTCCTTTCTTTGAACTCCTAAAACACAGTTGTTTAACTATATACTGCTGTATATTAGTCATTATTCTTTGTTTTTTGAGAGAGGGGGAGGGAGAGCACATGAGTGGGGAGGGGCAGAGCGAGAGGAAGACAGAGGATCTGAAATGAGCTCTGCACTGACAGCAGAGAGCCGGTGCAGGGCTCAAACTCACAAACTGAGATCATGACCTGAGCCAAAGTCGTGTGCTCACCCAAATGAGCCACCCAGGTGCCCCGTATTAGTCATTATTCTTTTACATGTTAGCACCAGGAACTGGAGGAAGGAGAAGAGAGAAATTAATAACATGGAAGTATGAAATCCCCATTTTAGATTCCAATTTGGAGGTGGGACTTTGGCAGAGGATAGAGGAAGTACAGCAGAGTAGTCCCAGAAGCCTTTGGTACAAGAAAGGAAGCAGAGACAGTTGTAATGAGCATCCTGCTTTCCATATCACTTGACAATAACATCTTAAGTTTTAAGTTCAGCATCATGAGGAATAAGAAATTTAACCCTTGAATGTTCTAGATAACAGAAGCTTATCATGTGAATTACTGGGTCCTATTCCAGACTTACTGAATCAGAATATCTGAGGGTGGAGCCCAGCAATCTGGGTTTTAATAGCACTCTAGGCAATTCTGATGCACAATAATGTTTAGAGAACCAGTGCTTTAGAGTATAAAACCTTAAACACTACTCACTGTATAAAACTATTTCTTTAACATATGACATGCTTCCTTGCCTTCTGGAACAGAACAGGCTAAACACAAAATGTTCCTTTCTTGTGGGGCCAGAGCTACCATGACGAACATTACATCTTGCCCAGTGTCTTTGTAACAGGCAGCACACTAGACAGAACACTCGGGCACCATGCTGTGAGGGCCCCAGTCTACCAGGTCATCTCACTAAACAACCCTCAGCAACTGTCATCTGAGTCCACCACCTGGGCCATTATCTACCGCTTGGAGCTTTATGAAAACAATATAGACTAACTGAAACTAACTGAATCACAGTATAAAAGAAAATGCACACAGTTCACTAATTATACCCACACCAAGTAGTATAATGAATAATACTGCAGAGAGGTGTTTTATGGGTATAATTAGACATATTCCAGTGTCTCTTCACTAAAGAAGTGGTGAAAGTTCTTAGTCAACTCTTGGGAGATGTTTCTGTTCTCAACTGTATTTCACTTATAATCTAGGCTTTACTGATCTTCCTCCAAGTAACACTATTTTTGCTACACACCAGTTTGCCTAGGAAAACTCCTTCCTTACAAGTCATTAAAAATTCTCAAAATCATGGGGCTCAGTCCATTGAGCGTCCGACCCTTGATTTTGGCTCAGGTCATGATCTCACAGTTCGTGGGATCAAGCCCCAAGTCAGGCTCTGCCCTGACCCCACAGAGCCTGCTTAGGATTCTCTCTTTACCTTCTTTCTGCCTCTTTCTCTCTCTCTATGAAAATAAATAAGCTTAAAAGAATTCTAAAAATCTGCATCTTCATTTGCTCAAAGTTCAGATTTTACTAAGGTATCTCCCTGGATGATGACTATGGGGGGTTAGCTTTCCTTGAACACATTGTGCTGACCTGCGACCAGCTTCTTACTGCTGGGGAGTGTCCGCTTTTCCACACTCACACCTTTGGTGTACCTCCTACCAGCATCTTTGTGCTCTGCCTCTACTGAGGCCTTCAGTGAGATTTACATCCAGTTCAGTTCCTTTTGGGAAGAAATAACTTCCAGTTGAGTCAAAACTGAGCAAGATTTCCTTGGATTTGAAGGTAGATGCATATGAAAATTTGGCAGATACTGTCCAAATGCCTCTCAGAGGGGTTTACCAATGTTCCCCAGAAATGTAGTATGCCTGTTTGCCCACAGTCTCACCAGCAGAGACTGAAATTTCTTTTTCCTGTGGATGTCATGGTGTCCTGTGACATCTTCACATAGTAGTCGCCATTAGAAGAACTTCAATCATCTCTCTTCAGATGCTGACCCTTCTTGTTTTCTTTTTCTATTTAATTCAAAGAATTGAATTGAGAACTTACTTTGAAACTAGTTCTCACAAGTATGAAATCACAGAACTTGCAACTTGGCTATGATATTTCTCATGATCTCTGTTCTTTTTCTCCTTGAAGATGAATCAAGAATTTTAAAATCAGAAAGAAAAGAAATTTTTAAATCATCTAGCACCTATTTCTATGAGACTTTGGAGTTTTGTTGTTATCTATCTCCATATTCCAAGACATCCCTTTATTTCCATTCATAGAAAAGCATTGTAATTTATTGGGAGTCAAAAGGCTCCCTTACCACACAGTACTGTCCTATTATTCATTTCTAGAACAGCTGAAGCTCAAAAGTTAATCACTAATGCAGAATGTTAATCATAGGGGAAACTGGGTTGGGGGTCAGGGAGAGTATGTAAGATCTTTCTGTACTTTCTGCTCAATTTTTCTGTAAATCTGAAACTGCTCTAAAAATCTAATAATTTTATTTTATTTTATTTTTTAATGTTTTATTTATTTCTAGGAGAGAGAGAGAGAGAAAGCGTGAGCAGGGGAGGGTCAGAGAGAGAGGGAGTCACAGACTCTGAAACAGGCTCCAGGCTCTGAGCTGGCAGTCAGCACAGAGCCCGACGCGGGGCTCGAACCCACGAACCGCGAGATCATGACCTAAGCGAAAGTCGGACGCTTAACTGACTAAGCCACCCAGGCGCCCCAAAATCTAATAATTTTAAAAGTAAAAAACAGAATAGGTTATGTAAGAAAATGTTTTTGTAAATGAGAAATGCATGCACAGAAAACAAGAAGACACATTTTATGAAAGCAGATGCAAAGTGAAGACACTCATTTAATACATTAGAGTGATGGTCTTTGTGGGCAGTGATAATGGACGTGGAGTATGGTGAGAAAATGAAATTAACAAACTAAGAGAGGGACATTGCATGGACCAATGATAATAGCATGCCATGAACTGAGAATGATCAAATTTGTCCTATGAACTTGAAATCTAAATTAAAAAAAAAAAAAAGGTAGTGGTTCTCAACTTGAGCAGAGAGGTAGAGTTTAGAGAGATTTTATTTTATTTTTTTATTTTAGAATGGGGTGGTGAGAGCAAGGAAGAGGGGCAGAGAGAGAGAGAGAGAGAGAATCTCAAGCAGGCTTCACACTCAGCATGGAGCCCAATGTGGGGCTCAATCCCACGACCCTGGGATCATGACCTGAACTGAAATCAAGAGGTGGAGGCTTAACCAACTGAGCGACTGAGACGCCCCTAGAGAAATTTTAAAAGAACACACATGCTTCAGTCCCATTTCAGACCCAACTTGGAGCCCAAGTATGTACATTTTGCAAAAGTTCCTATATTAGCCAGGACACTTTTACTTTAAAAATCCCAACTCAAATATGTATAAGGAATAAAAGGAACTGTATTGGCTCATGTGGCTTGGAAGTCTAGGTAGTAGTCTAGCTTCAGGCACAGATGAATCCAGGAGCTCAAGCTATCCAATCACACTCTCTGTCACTGCTGCCTGTCTCCAGCTCAAGCTTCCCTACTGTGACAGGTTCTCTTTCCATACTGTAGGGAAGGTTTTTACTGACATTTCTAGTCATGTGGAGGGAGGAAGGGGAAGGAGTAAAATGGAACATTGCAAACGACAGTGCCCCAAGGGTCCTGGGAAGTGGTGTAGGAGTTCCCCAATAGAAGGGAATTTAATTCAGAATATGTTAAACATTCCCTTGTAGGATGGCATGGATCTTCATGACTAAAAAAAAAAAAAAAAAAAAAAAAAAAATCATTAGAAACAGTTTCCAGGTTCCCCATCCTGGTCTCTTGCTCACTTGGGCTCTGCTGCCATGTTCAGTCTAGTCTTGAACATACCATCATGTTCAGTCACACCTTCCCCTGTCCCAGAAATACAAAAGCATTCAGTCAAACTTGCTATGTGTCTGGCTTCCAGCTCTCCTGGATAAGCGTAGAATAAAAAGTAAAGATATTTAGGGCACCTAAGTGTTCAACAATATAGATGATGAGTCTAAGAAGGAGAAAAACTGGATAAGTTATCTTATCTAAGGTGGCAGCATGCAAAAGTGACAGAATTTGAGCTCAGGTTTTATATCTCCAAACTTTATGCTCTGTCCAAAGTGCAACGCTGAATAGGTAGTATTAATAATAGAAATGGGGCACCTGGCTGGCTCAGTTGGAAGAGCATGTGGCTCTTACTCTTGGTGTCATGAGTTCAGACTCCATGTTGGGTGTAGATATTACTAAAATAAATAAATAAACTTTAAATAAAAATTATCCTTATTACAATAAAAATTGCTATTGTTTACTGAATTCTTCCTATGTTCCAGGCAGCGTTTTATAAACATTATCTCATTAACTCTCATAACTGGCTATGAAGAAGGTATCATTCCCATTTTACAGATGGAACTGTAAAGCTCAGAGAAGAACTGAAGCTCAGAAAGGTAATTATCCTGATTACATAGCTCCTAAGTGGTAGAGCCAGGACTTAAAACCAAGTATATCCAAAAATAGGTTTATTTCAGAAGAAGAAAAACTTAATAAATTAGCAAATAAATAACATCAAGGCTACTTCCAGGGGAAAAATAAAGTATCTAATTTTTGAAGATCATAACTAATGAATTAAAGTAGACTTACTCATTTTAAAACACAGACCTTAAAATATAATCATTCAAACACAATAGCTTTATTTCTCTCTAACGACATGGTTCATAGGAGTATTCCAGCTTGGAAGGGTTCAGCTCCATGACCTCCAAGTCATTCAGGGACTTGGCAGGACAGAGTTTCTGCCATCTTAAACGTGTCACCATCCTGGCTCCTGAGGAGGAGGGAAGGCATACAATGACTAGTCCCTTGAAAGCGTAGTCCAGAAGGGCACAACTTGCTTCTGTTGCATTCCAGTATCAAGAGCTCAGTCACATGAGACACTCCGCAGCAAAGGACACTGGACAATGTGGCTGTGGCTGGACAAGCACTGCCCAGTTACAGCTGCTGTAGAGGAAAGGAAGAACAGATTTTGGTGGCGGAGCTATTGGTAGCTCAACAATCTAGTAGACTTAGATATTAACATAGACAGAGACCTATTTATCATAAAACTTATGAAACCTGTGGTGACTGGATGGATCAGTTGGCTGAGTGTCCAACTTCGGCTCAGGTCATGATCTCACAGTTCATGAGTTCAAGCCCTGCATCGAGCTCTGTGCTGACAACTCACAGCCTGGAGCCTGCTTTGGATTCTGTGTCTCCCTCTCTCTCTGCTCCTCCTCCACTTGCACTCTGTCTCTGTCTTTCTCTCTCAAAAATAAATAAATATTAAAAAGCTTTTTTTAAAAACCTATGAAACTTAACTTCTAGGCTTCTCACTTGCATGGCCTCTTTCAAGGCCCTATCAGGGGCCTGTATTACTTAGCAATTTCTGGATAACAAATTACTCCCAAAACTTATCACCTTAAAACAATAATAACCTTATTATCTCACATAATTCTTGAGAGTCTGAAATCTGGGAGCAGCTTCTCTGAGTGGCTCTGGCTCACAATATTAAGCTGTCAGCCAAAAACGCAGTTATTTAAAGGCTTGACCAGAGCTGGAGGATCCACTTCTGAAATGGGAATCACATAGCTAGAGGCTTCAGTTTGTCACTACGTGGTCTCATCCACAGGGTTATCTGATGGTTCTCATGACTTGGTAGCTGAGTTCCCCAGAGTGAATGATCTGAGAGACAGGGGTAAAAGTCATAATGCCTTTCTAACTTAGCCTCCAAACTGACATCACTGCTACCAAATTCTGTTGGTCTCACAGACCAACCCCAATGCAGTATGCGAGAGGAGGTACACCAGGGTATGAACACCAGGAGACAGGGATGAGAGGGGGGAAAATCTTCATATATGAGGCTGTGTATCAACAGCCTCTACCAATGTGTTCACATGTTTTTTGTAGCATTGGCAAAGGATTTTTTTTTTATGTTTTTCTCTTTTTTTTAATGTTTATTTATTTTTGAGAGAGAGAGAGAGAGCAAGCAGGGGAGGGGTGGAAAAGAGGGATAGAAGATCCAAAGTGTGCTCCACGCTGACAGCAGAGAGCCCAATGCAAGGCTTGAACTCATGAACCATGAGATCATGACCTGAGCTCAAGTCGGATGCTTAAATGTAAACTGAGCCACACAGGCTCCTCTGTTCTTTTTCTTAATGAGTCCTCCCCAATTGTATAAGCTTATGGCACCACAAAACACGAATCCTTTTTTTATATGACCTTGCTTGACAATTATTTAAAATTGTTAGAATTATTTTTAGAACATGGTGATTTTATTCCACAAACCAAAATTGTAATAACTTAAATTCTGAAGGGATGAAGTACCTTTTCAAGTGTGTTGTTTCCATTGCTGTTAATATTACATAGTTTGTACATTGCTGATTTGTTATCAATGCCAGACAAGAAGTTAGAAGATCTGGATGTCAATCCAGATTCTACCTCTAACAAACTAAGTGATCTTCCTTCATATGATGCAGCCTGCTCTCTGAACTGACTTTGTCACTACAATAAGCTAGCTGTTGCATTAACTAATCTGTACAGGTGCTTTAAGCCAGTTCTTTAAAAGTCTATGATTAAGTGATACGTCTCTCTATGTTACAAATTTCTCATCCATAAAATGGGAATAGCAGTATCTGCTTCACAGAGGTATAGTGATGATTAAATGAGGTAGCCTCCATAAAGTATCCCAAATATGCCTCGCAAGAAGTGCATATTCAGTATATATTAGCCATTCTCATTATCTTATGCCTGAAAACTAACCAACCTCAGGAAGCCTATTTTGAATAATTTTGTAGTATCACAGTAATTTGTTATGTCAGTTTTCATCTCAGATCATTGTGTAAATTTTTATAAGTGAGTGAAAGATAATAGGAAGTAATATCAAGGTTGCAGAACAATGGGGAACTCTCATACATTTATTGATAGGAGTATAAGCTGGTATAATGACTTTGGTAAAACATTTAGTAATATGTCCACTTAAGCTAAACTTATACATATCTTATGACCCAGCAAATCCTCCTCTGGCTAAACTCAATATATTATTGGTGCTATGTCCACCAAAAGTTATTCATGAAAATATTCATCATAGCTTTATTGATAATATTCAAACTTGAAAAAACCCAAATGTCTTCCAGCAGTAGAATGGAAAAGTAAAACATATTCATACAATAGAATGAAAATAACAATGAACAGAACAAATCTCACCAATATGATATTGAATAAAAGAAGCTAAATACATAAAAATGCATCCTTCATGATCCCATCACATGAATCACGCAAGCAAAACTGTGGTGATGGAGGTCAAAAGAATGATTATCTTTGAAAAAATACTGATTAGAAGAGAGGGTAAGGAAGCCTTCTGGTGTGCTGGAAATATTCTACATATTGATCTGAGTAGTGGTTTCAGAGGTGTGTAAATGTGTAAAAAAAAATCAAGCTTTAGATTTAAGATTTGTACATCTTTTTATACGTTGTACCTCAATGAAACATTTTTTAAGTTGGTAATGGTATAAAGAAATCCATTGCAGACATCGTTGTAGGAGAAGAGGCTTGGCCATGATTTAGATATATGCAGTTTTGTTTCATTTTAGCTAAATTTTTGACAATTATAGTTCTAGGAAGTAATTAATGAACAATTAATTATTACTCTCCTATCATACACTACCTGATTAATTGTGTCAATTTTTCACTCATTTCACGTTTAAGTGTCAGATGCTCTGCTAGGTGATGGGATCATTAACACTGAACAAGATAGATAGAGCTCATGTCTCCACAGAGCTGGTGTATCAGCAAGACAGAAAAGTAAATCAGAAGTTACAATTGTGGACTGAGAGTAGAGTGCTCACGGATACACACAAGGAGAACATTTCCCCAAAGCTATTGTCTGGGAAAATGAGAGGGACTGATTTTCTTGAGTTTTGGAAACCAGCAGGGCTCAAAGACAGGAGTTTTAGAGGTTTGTAGCTGTACTGGGATGATGCCCTGAGGGTGCTGCCCTACTAATAGAGAGAAGGCAGGCAAGCAACCCCAGGGCAGAAGATGCAATCTAAGGATTGCCTAAGGTCCATAGAGAGACTGTTCGTTCTTCTTAAAGCACATCTGTGAGAGGTGGTGTTTGCAGAGATGCCTCTCTGGGAAAAAAGAGCCAGTGGGTGCCATTTCCTTCCCCTGCCTTTCTTTCTTTTTTTTTTTTTAGTGTTCTTTTTTTAAAAAAAGTTTTTTAATGTTTTATTTATTTCTGGGAGACAGAGAGAGAAAGAGAGAGAGTGTGTGAGCAGGGGAGGGTCAGAGAGAGGGAGACACAAAATCTGAAACAGGCTCCACGCTCTGAGCTGTCAGCACAGAGCCCGATGCAAGACTCCAAACCCACAAACCGTGAGATCATGTCCTGAGCCGAAGTCGGATGCTTAACCGACTGAGCCACCCAGGTGCCCCCTTTCCCTGCCTTTCAGCATAGGTGCAGGGACACCTGCTAAGGGCAGCTAACCTGGATACTGGCTGTTTAGCCCACATTCCTGAACTCTGGTGTGACTGTCATTCTCCATCAAGCCTGCATCCATCCCAGCATGCAAGACCATCCCCTAGAAGACCAGCACAGGCCACAGCAGGTCCCTAAAGTTTGGAGTTTTAAAAGTCAGCAGGCCTGGCTGGGACAGAGCATAAAGTGCACTGTCCTGCTCCAGGCAGGCAAGTAACCTGGAGACAGACAGTGTGAAATCAGCGATCTGAAAACTCCTGGGACACATAAGGAGAAATTATTTGCTCTTTTGGGAGGGATTCTCTGAAAGTAGCAAACACAGAGACCCCTCTCAGGAGACAATGAAATGCTGGTACCATTTCTCTCTCCTGCCCCTCAGCTTCTATAAACAGCACAGTGCCAACACTGGGTGCCTAACCTGTGTTACCTATACCAAGTCCCATCCCCTTGAACTCTGCTGGTACCACTTTTCTCAGGCAGTTCCTAAGGCCCAGAATAGTGAGTCTCTCCCACAGAAGACCAGCACAAACGCCCCCCATACACACCACATTGATCCACCAGAGAGTTCTGCAAGGCTTCAGTTCTAGGGGAAGTAGCATCAAGTCTTTCATTTAACTAGGTGTGCACACCTACTTAAAACTCCCCACATTCTGGCTAAGGACCAAACACTGCCCACTGCAGGCAAGGAAAGCTTCTATAGACAACCGACCTGTGGGACAGAATAGCCAAACACAGAAACAAAGTGCATGCAACACACACCAGAGACCCTTCCTGAAGTGCCAGCCTTGGACACTATATGATCTCTTCTTTATAAAGCCATTACTGTCGGGAGCAGGAAACATGACAGGCTTTTCTAACATACAGAGGAAGACAAAGACTTGGACAAAATGCCAAGATGGAGGAATTCAGCCCAAAAGAAAGAACAAGAAAAGCTCATGGCCAGAGATCTAATCAAAACAGATATAAGTAATATGCCTGGTGAAGAATTTATGGCAACAATCATAAGGATACTCTCTGGGATTGAGAAAAGCATGGAAAACATCAAGAAGACCCTTACCACAGAGATGAAAGTTAAAAAAACAAGCAATCGGAAATGAAAAATACAATAACTGAGATTCAAAACCAACCAGATATAATGACCACAAGGATGGAAGAAGCAGAGGAATGAATAAATAATATAGACGAAATAATAGTGGAAAATGATGAAGCTGAACAAAAGAGAGAAAGAAGAATTATGGATCACAAGAATAGACTTAGGGAACTCAGTGACTTCTCCAATATAATAGCATTCATATCATAGGAGTCCAAGAAGAAGAAGAAAGAGAAAAGGGGGCAGAGTTTTATGAGGAAATAATAGGTGAAAACTTCTGGGGAAGGGAATGACATCCAAATCCAGGAGGCAGAGAGAACTCCCATCAAAATCAACAAAAGCAAGCCAACACCAAGTCATTTTATAGTTAAATTTCCAAAACATAGTGACAAAAAA